GATTATTTAATTGCAAGTATTCCAACGTTAGCATAATAAAGCTGAGTCATTAGACCACTGTTTTACCTCCTACCAGCTTTAATTAAGATACTATTCTGCACTCTACTTCATGCTATGATGAATGTTACAACTTTGAATTTGGTTGCTAAAAAATCTATTATTTAAAATGGGTATTTTGGGGCTTTTTGTGCTTTTATTGTAGAGACAGGACAGTGGATACAGTTGGAAATCAGGGAAAGAGAGAGAGAGGAAGGGGAATGACAGGAAAGGAACCACAGGTCAGTTTCAAACCCGGCCGCCCATCTGGAGGACTACCGTACAGCCTCAGTACGTGGGGCGCCCGCACCAACCACTATCCTACCTCCTAAAACGTTTTTAATGATTAAATGATTCGCCTGAACAACAAAATTAAGGGAATTATACCATCAAATTACATGAATTAGTTTTATCCAGATGGTTTGGATCTGATTTTTCTATGCATTGAGTGATCTGCAAAGAGACCTGAGTCAATAATGTAGTGAAGCTCCTGGACAATCCCAAGCATATTGTAAGTTATTATAGTTTGTGAATTTCAAGCACGACACCATATAATTTTGTTATCGGCTATATTTCTGCCACACACACACTTTTGGGCCTTCACTGTGGGCCGGCTCGTGCCTCCAACACTTGAGTCATTAATCGTGACCCAGTGGGATTATTTAAAAACCAGCGTGCGGCCTTATGACTGCTCACACTATGAAAGGACAGGCTGCTGCTGCTGCATGTTGTAAGCTGAAACAGTCAAGTACACTCAACATGAGACGACACTACAAACACAACATTCATATAATCTTTCGACTGATTCATATAACTCTTTTTTTCCCAGTGCAGTCAGGGTCTGAATTTTGACGGCCGCATTAATGCGATGCTCACCTCTTAAAGCCGCCTGTCATGATGCTACATGATGCTTGTAGTCATCTTTAAACCTTAAACGTGTCTGGGAAAATACTGAATGAAAGTTTCTGGAGTTTTGAGAATAGAAACATCAGGCATTGACATGAGGATTAGGGAAAACAGAAAAAAAGTCTTCAGTGGAAAAAGGCTATTTTTACCGCAGAATGGTCGCTGTTTTTGTCCGTTTTTTTGTTTGATTGAAGTGTAAAAACGCAGCTTCTTTCTTTCCAAAATGCTGTGTATGCTCTAACAACTTATTTCACCTCTTCGCTGCCCATCTCTATCTCAGAGCCACAGTCTAGTCCTTTGGTAAGCACTTCCTAAGTCTGTGTCCTTGCAACCTCTCTAACCGCCCCTCCAGTGCCCTCCCGATAAGTCAAGCATGAAATGTAGGAAGGACAACAGAGGCCAAACTACAGCCAAGACAAATAGCACTGTCTCCATTAACTTGTCAGCACAGGAGATACATGAACTCTCCTTCAAATATTAATGGGATTAAAGAACATCTACACTGACCATGAATAGCCTAATCAGGTTCCTTAAACAGGAGAAAAATAAAGACAGCAGGAGAAGGCTTTGTGGGAGGATTGATTATGGGCTCTGATATTCAGTGTTTCATTTCCTTATGTGTGGGTTGCTGTCCAGTGAGAGGCTTTGAATTCGTCGGTTATCACGGCTGCTGATCTGACAGAGGTCACACCTCCCTCGCCTGATTGAAGACTGTGCCATTTACAACCCGAGAGAAGGGCACTGTGTAGGAAGGCTGCATGTCATTGTTATTAAAAGTCACCTGTACATCAACCATAACCTTCAGTGGCCGCTAAATGTAATGAGCTTTTAGCTCGCTCTCCACAGTCTCATCTGCATGCATTGAGGGGAATAAACATCTACGGACACAAGTCGCTTTCTGCATAGCGACAACAACCAGCTGACTTAAGATAACTGAATTAGTGTAAAGCAGAAATAATTCAACAAATTACTTAAGCCATGTGCAATGTTAACAAAGGGCTTTTTCAATGCTTTTAAGAGAAGACCGTAGCTACTTTCATTTTTTATCAATCTGCTGATTACTTTCTTGACTTACTATTTGGTCAATAAATATCAGAAAACAGTCAATGGTGTCTGCTTTGAAAAGCAAAATAAGGGCTGTAGTCAATTTAAAAAAAATAATAATTGAACTGAAATTACACCTGATTGAAAAAAAACTGCAGGGACAACCTAATTAGTGACTGTGTAGTCAGTGCATCGTGGCTGGTAGTCTAAATTAACTTAAAAACTAACATTACAAGCTTTGTGCAGGAAAAAGGCAGCAGACATTTTTTGATTTTGGTCGGATGATAGCTAATCGACCAACCAATTAACAAACCACCCGAAGGGTGTCAGTCTTACTAAACATGGTAAGTCTGAAATGAAAGCGGTAAACATCCCATTTGAGAGGATTTAGCCTACACATGTTGCATACAAATCACAAACATTTCAGTATTTTTACATTTTAACATTTTTATGTTTTTATCTGTGTTCATTCCATTTATCAAATAAACAAATAATTGCTGTCGCTGTGACCATGACTATTCTGCTTCAGTGATCTGTTTCACAAATCCATTAATTAATATATTAGCAGTGATCAGTGCATAAAAAATCTCCCGACAATTGTCACATGAATTGTAGAAAGATCCTTTGTCCAAAGAAAATGAAAGTGAATTAATCAGTTCGATGTTTGAGGAGTTCATAACCTCATATCCAAAGCAATATCTTGTTGCCATCTTTTCATCCCTCTCATTCATAGTCAGATCAATTGCTTATCCAAATGTAGCGGCTGCAAAGAGAGCAAGCAGCCGTGTCTGTCAGTCTTTCCCTTAAGTTTTAACACAACCACAGTCTGTGGACAAGAGAAGGAACTGATCGAGTCAGTCTTAGCAGAGAGTCATCGAGAAATCACAACCTCTCTACACCAACACATTGTGTTTGACAGGCTTCTTGAACTGCGTTAAGCCAGTGACATCTTTGTGCAAAACGAACAGTGAGCAACAATGCTAACACTCATCATGATTCACCAACAGCAGACTTTGCAAATCTCCTCTCCAGATGGCCGTCCATTCGCCTAAAAGGCTTTAATTGCGGTGCTATTATAACAAGCCTGAGACTCAAATTAAGATGCAAAGAATTCATTAAAACTGCCTCTCTTAACAAGCACAAAAGCATCCTATATTTCCATACAGAGGGCTCAGTGGTGCAGTCATGTGCTTTGTGCAGGCAGACAGGCAGAATCCCAAACAATGTGTGAGAGTCAGCACCAGTAACCGGCCAGAGGAAGTGATGTATTGCACACTGACTTGGAACAATGCAGTCTGTTTTACCTGAAGGCGAATGTTTCTACCCCATCAATTTGTTTCAGCAGACAGAGGCACCCTGTGACACCCTCAACAGAGTGTTTGTTAGCAGCTGTCTGTGAAGACACCTGCTGCCTGTGAGGAACCATGAAAGATAAGTAACGTGTCTTTTGTACAGTAGAAAAAGACATCATCACAATGCATTCTTCTAAATATGACTTCATGAATGGGAGTTTGGATGCTGCTTGACATTCGGAGACCTTGATCCCAGAGCAGTTTTGTTGCTAAAAAAGATACTTGAGGGTAAAGGATGCTCACACAGAGATCACACATTACTAACAGTCTCCTCCTTCTCCTCGAATCAGCCCTTCAGCGGATGAGGTTGCAGCTGTGCTCACTTTGGAAACAGATGGACAAAGAGAAAAATCCCTTCACAATACCACAAATTTAACTGGGATATGATTAATTGAGGGTGTATTTTTAACTCACTGAGCCTTGAATAAGTCAACCATGGCACCACTACAGCTCCCTGCTCCTCCTCTGTATTCATTATGCCACCTTACCAGGGGAGTATTACGTCTCACAAAGGCTGACTCTGAGTTGACACTGCCAGGCTTAGGAAGCCTGAGAAACTCAGTGCTCAAGGCACTCTTCTGGTGTAGAGACCCGGGTCTGTCTGACATGTGTGACTCCTGAGTTGAGCCCGCTGCTAAATGAGGAGAGACAGGGAGGATGATACGACCCACTTCCATACAAGCTACAGTGCTTTCTTTAACAGAAATCCCACAGGTACCGTTCTGCACCGTTCATGGAGAATATACAGCAGGGAATAAGCTTAAATATTCCCCTCACCAGAAGACTGGAGGGGCAGAGGATAGAATTGTGTGTGTGTGTGTGTGTGTGTGTGTGTGTGTGTGTTTGGAATGATTTAGATGCAGATCCAGAGGGTCAGTAGCGTTTTTACATCCTACTCTCTTCACAAAGTGATCAGAATTGAAATGCACAACTGACCTTCTCTTGGTGTCATCCTGGGCAGTAATGGTACTCTGCTGCAACTAAGAGCATACAAAAGGCTTTCTATCATATCTCAGCCAAGTGATAACATCTTAAACCTAATCTGGAAATCGATCCATCAATCTATGTTCTTACTACAGTTTCCTAAAGACGGAAAGGTGAGGTCATCCTTCCCTAAGTGGAGGCACGGTCTTTTTATTCAGTGAAAAAAAAAACACAAAAAACATCACGGAGGAGAGGAGCAAACTGCTGAGGACGCTCACTGTGAGGGCTCACAATTTACTGGAGCTGTGCACATTCTTGCCATAAATGTGCGCGCATGATGCACGGACTGATTTCTTCCAGTATCACAACGAAATTACGCACGGATCAAAATCCATTTGATCCCTGCAAAAACTGACTCAGACAAGTGTCGTTATGAGACGAGCTGAGCGAATAACTAACGAGTCGTGCACAGATAAGCAGCAATAGTTTTATATTGCAAATACGTGCTGAATGTCTGCTCACATTCCGCAAACAACACATGTTCTCTATGTAGACGCATCATCCCAGTTTGGTGAGCTATTCATCTGGGCTTCCCCAGTTTTAATTGTCGATTTACTTTCAGTCTGGAAGAGGCTCCGGTCGCTATTCATCAGTTTGTAATGCTTCCATTCTTAAGGGCATGTTATGTACAATGTTTGGACAACGATAATGACAGCTATAGTCCACTTTTCCACTCACCTCTCGCGTGCTGCGGGACGGCGGCGCTCAGACACAGCGCGAGGGAAAGGAGTAGCGGTCCCATCCTCTCTCACAATAACCAGATCTGACTTCCAAGGTTACGCAGATGTGGTAAATAAAAAAAAAAAGAAGAAAAAATCACGGAGCGAAAAGCCAGAAGTTGTCCCTCCCTCGCTCTGCTGGACTGTGGAAGCTGCTTTTATATGTCCTCTCAGGTAATGTCCTCCTCAGTGAGAAACTCGGCACAAAAGACACACTTGCCTCCTGGATTTTCTTTTCGTGCAGGAACAAGTGAAGAGTGCCTGCCTTCCCCGCTCCTACCGCAATGGTGCGATGTAGAGGAGAGAAGCGACGTGTGCGCTCACTGCTCCCGGACAGCTAAACTGTGTCGAGCGTACGGGAGTGAGGCAGAGCATCACTTCCGGCTTACACTTTCAAGGTAAAACGTAATAACTAACTGAATTTGAACCAAAACTGTCTGAGTTACATACAATTAGGGAATATCAAGCAGTGTATGTTGTTTACTAGTTGGTTGCGATTTTACTCTGTTTCCATTTAGTGTTTGCAACCAGTTTCAAAAGCGTATACAATACTGTGTTTCAACCAAAATCATGTTACGATATTTCATTTTCAATTAAATAACATCACAATAGCTATTTTGACTATAACCAATAATTGTATTTATTTTAAACGTTGATTAACGGCACAACAGGATGCTTTTGTTTTGAAAATATTGACGCCATACTATGCGGGCTCGGGGTGGAAATTGCTATAGACTTCAAGAAGGGCCCACTCAGCTCGCCGGAGGATGAACGCTTTACGTCCAGTCACAGTAAACCGACTGGGGCGCTGCCCTGCTGATGGAGACAACTCCTCCTCCTCCTCCTCCTCCTCCTCTTCCTCTGAAGAGCTCTTCTAACAGGCCTGCTGGGTTGGGGCTTTAAACTCTATGTAATCTGTCTCTTCAGCCTTTTCTTGACCTCTTTTTCACTCCCCATGACTTCCCTTTCAAGCCCGAGGAAGTTTGATAGCTGAGTATCTTTTCCTCTGAAAAAAAAAAATGCTTGTCAAGTATGGAGGGGGAAAACGTGAAAATATGCCATTCTGCAGAGTCAATGGGCTATGGGTGAAAATCTTATGCTAAAACATTGTGTAGTTCAAAAAGGGTGGTAAGTCTTCTGTGGACTCCCTTCAGCCTGTTATCTACTGTAACATGAAATAGTGTTTTATCATTATGTCATTTATTGTTCCTGGATCTGTTACAACGTTGATTAAAAACAAAAGTTAAAGGTAAAGTGTGATATTGCAATGCATATTGTCATGTCAGCTGCTATAAGAAACGAACCATGACATGAAAGGTTGGTTTTAGTTACCATCTTGAGATTTCATCCATCCTTGCCTTCAGACAGAACTAACAAGACCCAGGTGAAACCAGAATTAAAACTGTTGTAGTTAACACTGAGCTGTGGCATTTTGAAAATGTGATTACTTCTTCTACAGGGGTGTCATCCCATTGATTGTTCATGCGTCATGTGTGATATTTTGGCCAGCGCTGATTGGATTTTGATGAAATTTGGGGTTAAATTAATGTGACGATTGCACTTTGGTGATCTCAATTTAATCTGTAATTAAGATATGGTGGGGACATTATTTCAGAACAAACGCATAGGGGTATTTTCTATTCAAGATGGAGTTGGAACAGAGGTCCCCTCTTACAAGACTGTGTAATTCTGGATATTATGTTGTCAAGAGACATTCGCTGTAGGTCAGTAATTGGTCATTCGGGAGAATTCATCATATTTAAGGAGACATCTTGTTTCCTGTTTGGTACCAAACTCAGTTTTAATCTGACACATGTAAGCGATATTGACCCTGAAACTGAAAACGCACAGCGAGTTTCAAACACTAAGCTGATGTCATCATCCAACATCGCAGTTATCAGTACGACCTTGAGGTGTTTCCGGGCTCCTCACCATGAATCATGAAAGATACCAAGTGTCTTATGGTTTAATGTAGATAGAGACCTCTAACTGTATGCACGTGGTCAAGACCTATAAATCATCTGCAGGACCCACAGTGAAGTCTGTGATCATCCTAACGAGAGGCCACTTTGTATTCATACGATCGCAGCAACACCTGTTTTTTCCTGGAGTCTCCGGGCTCTGTCTCCATAGCAGATCATTCCTAGCAGATAATGGGATCTCTTTAAAAGTTATTAGCATTAAGGAGGATTAATAATGGGAAAACAACAACCGTGCACTGAAACGTCTTAGGCAGTGTTTATAGTAAAAAAAAAGAATCCACTGAGGATAAATAATGCTAATCCTGCGTATCAAACTAATTAATGTTTTTTTTTCTTTACATGTATTACCTTTTTGTTGTGCGTTGGATTAAAATGTGCCCTCATATGATATAATACATATTGACTGGCATGTGAGCTTTTATAAGCAAAATTCCTCTTTATGCTGAACTTAGAAAGAAAAAAAAATCAAACACAGAGATGATCAGAGAGGATTGGTCACAGGCTCTGCAGCTTGTTGGTAAATCTGTACACTAAGCACAGACCTCTAACCTCTTCCCAGCCTCTGCTGTCTGCCTACACACAGAACTATTACAACTCAATTCTGATGAATCCTCCACACTGTATCAACTTTCCACAGCCAGCAGCCCTCCTTCAAAACTCCTCCCGTCTCCTCATCTGCCCTTGTTTTTCCCCCCTCCGCTTGTCGAGAGGCTGCAGCTCAGACCAGTGAGTCCTCCTCGGCGCACATCCATCCTCATTTAGGCCACGGGGACCCATTTAGGATGAGCAACGGTCTGGAAAACACAGTGACCTTCTCATATTTGACTCATTTACTGCTGGTTTTATTTCGGCCACTAAAACAATGTTTTTGTTTCCAGCAGAAGTTACAGAGTGGTTGGAGTGCGCACGATTTGTCCTCCAGAAATAATCCGCTCTTTGAAGGGCACAAGGATCGTTTCCTTTTATCCAAATGGACATGAGGGCGAGGGCACCTTAAGGATGCAGAAATAATCTCAAATTGAAACTTCACAGGTGAGGAATCTATGAATTTGGACAGAGAGAGCACCACTGGAGTGAGGCTTTTATTATCTGCCGTGCCCTCAGCATTTTCATAACCACAATTTTAATGAGGTTAACCTCTTTAAAACAGAGGATAAGGGGATAACTGCTTCTTTTTCTTCCTTGCCTGTCTGCGTTTTCCCCTCTCCTTTCTCCATTCTCTCACAGGGGAGGAGAAGAGGCTTTTTTTCAGATCCACTCGCTCCCTCTCTCATCCCCCATGTCTCCAGGTTCCTTTGCTCTCCTCCCCAATCAGACGGCTCCAGTCGTCTTCAAGGCCTCCCTTCTTTCTCTCTGCACTCGCCACAAAGACAGTCTCACAAAGGCCCGAGGCAGGGAAAGAGAGAAGGAGAGAGAGAGTGTAGGGGAAAGAGAGGGGCGGCCGCGGTGAGAAGGCTGGTGGTGATGATGAGGTGGCGGTGGTGCTGGAGGTTTCATATGAGACAGTAAAGGAGATGGATGAAGAAAGTGGGAAAGACGGAGAGAACGAGTGGGCAGATTGAGACGGTAAGGAAGGCAAGCAACACTAAATTAGATGCTCTTGGAGAAGAGACAGAGAATTAATTCCAAAGAGAATATTGCATTGTGTCTTCTTTCCCCCCCCTTCCTCTCCCAGCATTGGGACACAGAGAGTTATGTGTTTCCCCCAGCAGGCTCCTCTATTTCTCTCTCCTCGCCTCTGTTAGTCCCACGCGATGATACCACTGGCAACAGCCTGTACTTTCCCTCTTTCTCATTCTGCTTATTGCTGGATTCTTTCTGCAGAAAGTATACTTGGTGCAAGAATTACACATGCATGGCGAATAAGATTAAGATTAGGCTTCGAATGTGAAGTTCATAATGAGGAAATAAAATGTTATCTGGACATTTTGTCAATTCTAATCAGACAAACTGTAGAATTGGTGTACAATAATTGGGTTTTCCATCTTTAGATAATCTAAAAGAGCAGTGAAACAGCTGTCAATGTCTTGTATCCACATCAAAAGTGTTCCCTTTTATATACTTTTACAATGTCATCCATTGATTTTCTCTTTAGCCCTCCCCAATGAATGAAATATGATACATTGCCTCACAAGGAACATTTTCAATAACTTGCCTCCACTCTGTGACCATAATCATAACCATGATCTGCCACTGTGCACCCCTTCCCATCTGTTTCCACCGTAGATACGTCCAAGGAAACTATCTGGAGGTTGCCTGAAACATCGCCCGAACCCTCACACATCCACAGACCTGCATTTCTTATTTACACAGCGGCGGGAGAATTAGAATATTTGGCCGGGTTTGCTGAGTAGTCAGCTACGCTCGGCTGGCGTTCCACTCCACAGCGTTTTTGTCAGTTTGTGCTGAATGCATAATAGAGTGATATATACCAGGTTCTCCTGAATGAATGACATGAGCCCTCACACTATTGTAAGCCTTCTTTCCTATAACCATTGTTTAATTAGCCAGGTATTTAGAATTGGAGTCTTTTTCAGACATCTCTGCTGCGTTTACCGCCCAATATTACTTATTTAATGATAAGTGTGCAAGTAATCCCTTACAAACCCGTTTATTCATAGCATACTTCCAATATGTTTAAGTGTGATAGTCAGAACACTAACAGTACAGAGTCTGAAAATTATTCCTACTTCAAAAAGCATTACTTTAATTTCTGAAAATACCAATATTGTGTTCCAAAAGATCAAATTATCTCAATGGAGCTCAGCAAGGCTCCTTCTAAATGAATTCCACAGATTCCCCAAATCAACAACACTTGGCAGGGTGTTATTTTAACAGACTATAATTTCATGTTTGGCAGTTTGCTGCATGTAATTACAGACAGCTTTGTTTATTACGATTTTCTGGACTCAAATGTGCCAAAAGTTAGTTTTAGAGGTGCTCCTTCAGTCTTGACGCAATCCGATTTTATTTAGGTTATATAATTGCTGAGATCTAGGACAGACTTTTACCTGCAAGTTTAAGACTTGACAGTTAACTTCCAGGGTAAAGCAACTATTTTCTTTACTGGCAGAGGCTTGGGACGTGAGAGCAATTTATAGCGATGGCACTCAACCCCTTTACACAAGAACAGAACTTCAAAGCCTGCTCAAACACAAGCTGCAATCACGACACACACAACTGCATCAACTCATGATTTGATAAACATACAAAACTGATTATTGTGTAAAAGAAACATTCACAGTTAGGCTGAAGACTGGTTTCTTAAGTGCAGAGTTTTATCTCCTTTCCAAAGACCTCTGAAGCTCATTTTCCACATATCAACAAAGGGAAACAGCTTGGAAGGACTATATGTCT